CTGTGAAAACCAAATTCGTAAAAAAATAGTTTTGTGTATAAGTTATTCAAATATATACTTTTCTTAAGACTGTTCTTAAGTAATGTTTTTATTCTGTAAAGAAACTGTTGTTTATTTGCCAATATCCAGACATAAAGATATTTGTATGTTTTTGAATCTCTGGCGCTATTAATTGAAGTTAGATTATTTTCAAATTAATCACCAATAGAGTCAGGATTATGATGATTTGAATAGATTATTAACGTTCAAAAATATGCATCTCAATTCAAAATAAATGACATCAATTATTACAACAAAAGGTTTGTTTGAAGTTAAGTACAAAGCTACACAATGGGCTATTATTGATCTGCCAACCACGGGTATCGAAACTCGGTTTCTAGCATTGTAAGTCCGCAGACATACCGCTGTGCCACTGGGGGTGGGGGCACAACAAAAGGTATATACAGTATTTGTTAAAGAAGATAAGTCATAAAGGTGATATGTCGTCCTTAGGCTTACAAAGGTCTTCGCTTTCTAGTAGGAATGGAGGAGTTCGACTGACTTATATACAATTTAGGAAAGTTCGATTATTTGTAGTCAAATATTTTCACGCCTAACAAAGTATAGACAAAAATGCATTACTTTATTAAAGTTACTAAGAAGCAATCTCAATAACATTAAAATGATTGTTTTTAAGGCCTGCCTCCATCCTTGTGTTGTGAGATGTTTCTTCTTCAAGGCCTGTCTCCATCCTTGTGTTGTGAGATGGTTCTTCTTCAAGGTCTGTCTCCATCCTTGTGTTGTGAGATGGTTCTTCTTTACGGTTTGTCTCCATTCCTGTGTTGTGAGATGGTTCTTCTTCAACGCCTGTCTCCATCCTTGTGTTGTAAGATGGTTCTTCTTCAAGGTCTGTCTCCATCCTTGTGCTGTGAGATGGTTCTTCTTTACGGTCTGTCTCCATTCCTGTGTTGTGAGATGGTTCTTCTTCCTTTCACTTTCTTGCTACAATTCACTGCTATGGATGGCTATTCCCTGTTTTTTGCAGTTTAGCGATTTTTGTGCGTTTCAAATAGTTTAGATATTCAGTTATCTACTTTTGAAATGCCCAAAAACGCCTAACTAAAGAAATTACTAACATCTTATATATGTATATATATAACATCCGATTAAAAAGTTTGATTTTATTTTTACTAATAAGTTTTACGTTTCAATGTGATCTCTTAGGGTTTGAAAAAGGTTGTTGGTATAAGAATATTATATCCTTATTTTTGTATACATTAAGTTTAGTTTTGTTTCAAACAAGTTAATGTTTCAGCAGTGCTCTTACAAGTTATTATGAAGAACTTATTACTAAGAAGAAATACCGAAAGTTCAAACTATCATATCTTTGTATTATAAAGATAATTCCTGTATCAGCTGATTTTATAGTTTGGAGTAAATTTATCTTAAGCAGATGTATGCGAAAAAAAAATAGTGATAACAGATTTGTTGTTAGTATTCTCTTAAAAAACTCAGAAACTCGTTAAATCTTTTAGAAGATATCAATCTATACATCAGAGCACAAGAAAGTTATACTCTCTTGATGGATATGCCTATTTTATACGTTAGATATGCATGAGTTATCCTAACCTGAAATATTAAGCTTGCCGCCGACGTTTACATTGTATAATCCTCCAAGCCATTCTCTATAAAGTAAATCAATTTTCCATTACAGTTTTGCTAACTACCAACTCCTTGGTTATAGAACAGACGAGTGTTACAGAGTGACACTCATGACTAAGGCTATTATTCTCAAAGACGGAAGAGTGGTTTGGAATCTCCTAGCCTCCTACAAGAGCACTGGCTTTATTGACGTTCAGCATTTCCCTTTTGATCAGCAACTTTGCGTGACGAAGCTCGGATTCTGGCCATATGATGGTTATCAAGTAAGTGGATTAAACAACATACTACTTACTGCTTCACTGACTTCAATACATTGCTTAAAAGGCTACTGTATATTTACACGAACGTATTAGTTAACGTTGAAATAAGTAACGTTTCATCATTTAATCAATAAATCACATCTTACTTAAAGTTTATATTGATATTTGATAAACTATACTGTTTTGGGAAAATATATTTTATGTACACCAGAGTGGTTTTGTTTTACACCATTTTAATCTAATATTTTTAATGTTACGATTGCTGTTGGCTTTGAGCCTAGGAGTGTTATTTTGACAGATTATCTTACAAGTATGTCTCATTTAAGAGGTCTTTATGAAATGAGTCGGTAAAACAGGAATAATAATTTACCCAAATGGCTGAAAATGCACAAAATGAGTTTGAAAACTTATTTGAGCATAAAACCACCCATCTCTTGAAGTTTAACAAAATTATTCAAAATAGTTTTGTTGAACATAATATTGTTATTTGAGACAAAATATATTATGATATATGTGTGTTTCTAGCGTTATGTATACGTAGTGAAATGTTACGCAGAATGTTTGTATGTGAAAGGGTTTGGTTTTAATTTCGCACAAAGCTACACGAGGGCTATCTGCGCTAGCTGTCCCTAATTTAGCAGAGAATGACTAGAGGGAAGGTAGCTAGCTATCACCACGAAGAGTGGGATTGATCGTTACTTTATAACGTCCCTATGGCGCCCTAACCACCTGACCATGCCGGACCACGTGTGAAAGGGACTACCGATTGTGTTTGACCCAAGAAAACACATTAAAGACATAATAAAACCGTCGGAATATCAAGAAGTGCTTGAACAAATTCAAAATAATATGGAAAAGAAATTAATTGTTCATTACTCTGATGGTACATACGATAAAGACAAAACCTATTAAAGCAGCAATATGAGCATGAGAAGGGATTAAGTCATATTATCTTTTATCCTCACGATCCTTTACCAGATTAAAGCCAGCACTCCTCTTAAAAGCTATGAGACTTGGTTAAATAACAAGAAACGGGACACTTATTAAATATTCTATAAGGACTTGTAAAGTTTTTCTGATGCTATCTCGAACAATCTATTTGGTTGACATAAAGTGATTTATTTTTCCACATCTTCACTAATTTCTTATATTTTGAGCCACAAAATTAATTCACTCATCGTGAACCCTCAATAAGATATCAAGGAAGTTCCAGACCAGATAGAGAACTAAATATTGTTTGTAACTCTATAAAACTTTTGTACCTAAATCATTATTTGTAATAACTATTTGTAAAATATGTTATTGTAAATTGTATTGTTGTGTGTATATCAAACGTATTTGTGCTTAAAAAAAACAACAACTGTGTATCAATTTTGTTGGCAAGTATCATAAATTGGATACATATCGACTTTTATTAAATTTCTAAATCTAAATTATTATTTTGTTTGTTTGTTTGCAGTTATGCATAAAACTACACATTGAGCTATCTGTGCTCTGCCCACCACGGGTATCGAAACCTGGTTTTTAGTGTTGTAAGTCCGCAGACATATTATCATTTAACTGAGTTTCAGGCTATTCGAAATTATAATATGTTACATAATGTAATACATTTTATCTTCTTTGTGCATTAGAAGCCATAAGATACTATTTGACTAAACAGTTGTCTTTAGCTGTTTCATTCATTTCTCATTCGTATTTTAAGGCTATATTCTTATGTATTACAATAAATTCAGTTAAAATATCTAGCTGTGTCTCAGATATTTGAACGTTTAAATTACATTAAATTCTTTAAAAAAACATTATGAATGCTATGTAGTAACATTATTCATTAAATTTGCAATAGCATGAAATGAAAAAGTTGTAAAGCTTTTCCCACAAGTCTAGAAAACAAAGAATAAACAAAAACATTAGGTTTAGCTACGAGACAGTACAGGTCACTTTTATACACTATCGAATTATTGAAGTAAAGACAAAATACTTGTAGAGACCATAACTAAAACTAAAGCGTCTACAGATATAAACATTTTTATGAGGTATCCTAATGTATCATGGGACTG